AATAATGATTTATAAAATTATACAATTGATTTTTAGAATATTGAAAATAAACATTATTTCTCTCTGAATATTTAAATGCTAAAAATTCAATATCTCTCAATTTATAAATCCATTTTGCTAAAATAAAATATCTAAAGACTTTTAAAAATTCAAATAATCAATTTAAAAAGCATTTAACATCGAAATAATTAATAAAAATAATTTTGAAGGGAATCGGATCCAACTTGGACTAGGAATTTTAAAATTGCTGAAGGACTCCATCTTCTACTGTGACTATAATGCATTCTTGCTTTCTCAAACTGACCCAGTAGTTCCCATGACCCACAGGCTACTGCGGGGTTTCATAATTAGGCTACAAGTCGGCCAATAAGCAAGGGGACACAATCTAAGTCTATAGATTACAGGTTCTCCCCCTAGAGACCAATCCAAAGTCACACAAACTTGATGCAACCACAGTTCTATGGTGCATACGGGTAACCTCTCGCACATGTATATACTTCACCCTCAACGGTAACTCGTTTTCCCAATACGACTATCATATGTACATGTCATGTGATGGTTCAATGATGACGCTTTGGCCCTCGTATCTAGAGGTCTACCATCACACATAAAAGGTCACACTGTCTGTTGGTTCGCTACCCTGGGCAACTCCGAGCTCATCAAGGGATAACTATGCTAACCCTCATCAATTTTCTCTATGCCCAAGTAATAAGGGTTTTCCAACTTGACTGGCCTAGCACATCAAGCCAAGTCTGAGTACGCAAATAGCATTTGCCTATCTAGATTCAATAAGACCATACTCCCACTGAGTTTATGCTCAACTATATCAAAATATTAGTTACAAGCTCTGATAAGGACTTTAATGGTCACAAAAATCCAACATGTACTCCGCAGTTTGACAGGAACACATAATATGGCTTCACCAAAATCACCCCAATCAAGGTCCCAACATTTTCAGATCTAAAGGGATTACAGGTGCACCCCTGGGGACAAAGTAGTGCTTACATACAAGGGTCCTCACAAGGCACATGTACGCTAGCTCTTCTTAGATGGATCATACACATCAGAAGAGTGGCTTCCTATGCAACTGTGACATGTTGTAAGTATTAGGCTTATGTGACCATTAAAAGGCCTTACGAGAGCATGTAAAACTATGACTATAGTGATATGATAACTCTAGTGGGAGTATGGTCCAAAGGGAATAAAGGATTATGGTCCAGAGGGGCAAAAGTTGGCAATATTGATGCCAAGACTCAAACGAGGCTTGACAAGCTAAGCCGAGTTGAGTTCTAAAACCCAATGCCACCTGAGCATATAGCACAACTGAGAAGGGTTTGCAGGTCCCTTTATGAGGTCGGAGAGATGCCCAGGGTAGTTGGCCAAGGACTTTATGACCCTTATGTGTGATTGGTAGGACTGAAGGGATAAGGGCCAAACCGTCATCATGACCATCACCTGCATGTATATATGATAGCCGTATTGGAAAGTAAATAACATTGAAGGTGTTGCATGTACATGTATGAGAGATACCCTCATACACCAATTGCGATGTGTGTGCACACGTCTATGTGATCTAGGCTTGTCCCTAGGGCAAAGTCCATAGACTACGATTGTGTTCTCATCACCTATTAGCTGGCTTTGGCCATCCAATCATGAACCCCTGCGATCAACTGTGGGTCATGGGAACTACTACGTCAGTTTGAGAAAGTGAGTGTGGATCATAGCCACTAGTAGAGATAGAGCGCCTCAATATTTTCGCACTTTCATTAGAGCAGTTGGATTCGATTCCTGTCAAATTAATTTTGAAATAATTAAATTTTGTTTTCAGAATATTAAAATAATTTTTTAGAAGTCCCTAAATACTTTATTTTATCACAATTGACATTTAAATAAGCTAAAACTGAATTTTCTGGTATTTAAATATTCAGAGAAGAAAATAAATTATTTATTCTTTTCTAAAATCATTTTAATACTACTAAAATAATTAAATTGTAGGGGGCCCATTATACACTACCGGCCCACCATTCTAGCCCATAATTGATGGGGGCGTGGGGCCACTATGCCCCCATAGAGTGGGACACCCCACTCCTTTCACTCTTTCCATTTTATGCTGGCTTGTGTCATAAGCCATGCATTGATTTGAAATGAAATAGGAAAGTTCTAAAAAGAGGCCATTTGATTTTCAAAAAAAGCATGCGTAGAGATTGATTGAAAATAAAAGGAAAGTACAACATAATTTCTCTACACTTAATATTGGATGGGATTAGATTAAGGAAGCTAAAGGATAAGATTCTAACACCTTCCATTAGATCATGATGGATGATTTATGAATTGTATTGTTAAGATCTCTCACCCCACAGGTCACCTATGACCAATGGTCTAGATGAAATCTTATAAGGATACGAAACGCTAAGAAACCCTAACCCTAATCGTACTTCTTTATATGCATTTCATTGGGGGTTTTCAATTTACATCCCCAGACTTAAGCTTTCTCCCTCTCTCTCTCCCTCCCTCAAGGTGGCACACCACTCGCTCTACCTCAACTCTTTTCTCTCTCTCATAGAAAATAAAAGAAAAAAGGAGGCACACCCTAAGGGTTTTAGAACACATAGAAAGGGGGCACACCCCACATAGATGAGTAGAAGAGAAAACCTATTTTGTGTACTTGTTCCTTGAGAATGAGTAATAGGGTTTGGGCATAACTTCCCATTTGTTGAGATTCAAGAAAGACCTAGATCCCGTACACCATTGATGGGGGAGACCCGGTGTGAGGTGTACAAAGTCGTCCTTGGGGGTAACTTAGGCCAGGTATTCGGTAATTCTAATGGCTCCATGTTTCTTGATTCTTCATGCATTGTATTTTTGTTTGATTGTATTTTATGCAAGAGAAGATCCTAGATTGTGTCAGGGTTTATTTTTGAACAAATATTGTGATTTGTGGACATATGCAAGTGTTCAAACCTCTATTACAAAAGAAAAAGAGAAAAATTTTAAACTATACATACTGTGTTATCACATAGTCCTCCATTCAATAGGGTGGTCTAGTGTCAGGGTACCAGCTCATGTTCCATGAGCCATGACCATCCTATATAGGGCTATTACTCTGAAGATACACAGGTTCTAATCTCTTTTGGGTTCTCTTAGCCCTAGCTAACACAAACCATCCATGAGGCATATAATCTCATCAAGTCCCTAACTGGAGGTGACCGCAACACCTCCATAAGTGATCTCTCTCTCTTACACCCATATACTCTCATCGCCCTATGTGCTCAGCGTATGTGATTCTGGGCCCTAGTGCTCCAAGCACCTAGAATCATGTTCTCTCACTTACTCCCACTGCTTGGTTTTAAGGCCTTCAAATGACGTAACTACAACATTCTCCAACTAGGCCTTTTGAGGCTCTATACTCGTGTCAGATTCTCTCACGCTCTTAAGGTTCCATACACTCGATATAGATATTGTACAAGCATCCTCATGATAATAACAATGATACTCAATATTAACTATCACATAAACCATAATCTAAAATATCACATAAACTATCACAAGTGATCGATATCATTTATACACATTATACTCGTAAATCAAACCACACATAATCCATATATCAACATGCCATGTCATACTCATGATAGTACTCCATATGATAATTTCGTAAAGGCCTATGCAAATGCAATCCCCATTTTTGAAAATCACATTTTCGCAAATCCATATCATGCTCATATTAGTCATTCTCACGGAGAAACCTCGGATGAAGATGATGATATTTCTTTTTCCCCATCCACTGCAAGGATTCCCTGCCATAACATACTTGCAAATACTACCTGAACTATAAAAAATATGAGGATGCAAGACACGATGGGTTTAAATCATCTCCATAGGTAGTTGGAAGCCCTTAAATGAGGCATATAGCCCTTATAAATTAAAAAGCCACAAGGCACCTCTTTTTATAGGGTTGTAAGCCCCATTATAGGGCTTCTTTTTTTTTTGGGTAGTCCCATTATGGGGCTTTCTATAAAGGAGGAACACAAATCCCTTCTCCCTAAGGCGGTAGCAAGCCCCATAATTGGGTGCCCCATTTTATTGGGCTGCAAACTTCACAATGGAGCATGCAATAAAAGAGAGAGGATCCATTCCTACATCTCATTGGTGTCTCTAAACAATGCCACTCACTAGTTTTTTAGGGCTAAAATATTAGTGTCAAACTAGACCTCTTTAAAATTCGAAAGGGACCATTCATAATCCCAACTTTAATCCCTTTGGTGGTAACACAAAACATATATATAGAGGAAGCATGTGCATATGAACTTTCTTATAATAATTGTGTTTCTTTAAGATAAGATCATCTGCACAATTGAAAAACAAGTACAAATGCAAAGCATGTGTTAAAAGTACACTTATGTCTATATCAACATTTTATTTTTCTTTTATTGGTCTACATCAAGATTCATTTTGAACATCTTTCATGCATTAAAATTTTATAGAATGTATCCTACAAGCATATATATGGACTATGGAGTTCTCAAGTATTTTTGCGATCTTGGTGGTGAGAATACTTATACCAAGAAATAAGCTCATGGTGAGACCTGAAGTTACAGTTAGCATGCAGTCATTAAAACGAACTCACATCTGCCAAGCAGTTTTCAAATGTTACAGAATTGAAAGGCATCAAAATAAAACTAATACAAACAAAACAAAAACTGTAAGGAAACAAGCATGAAAAGCAATGCAGTTATGCTACTTCATTACAAGTTATGATTTTCCATTTATCCTCGTTCTTCACAAGATTAGTCATATTATCAAAACGAACATAATGATCATTAAATATCAAAACAAACACGGTACCACCTAGATCAAAGTGCATCATTAAAAATTTGTTTGAAACATCAAAACATTCTAGAACTAAAAATAGAAACAAAATTATCACTAATTAACAAAACATAATATCATCATGTGTAAAGTAATGATAAAATGACACAAGAAGTTCTTCCCATTTATACCTCTTGATTCGCATCTAACTCATATCCATTTTTAGCAGCCAAGGCTTTCGCTATTCCCACAGATTCCTTCCATAGAGAAAACTTAACTTAAGATACTTGAAGGAAAAAGATAAAATACTACAAGAAAAAAATAAATTTAGCACAATCCTTTTACCAATATAGCCACTCCAGTAATTAGAAATGTTGTAGCAATCAAATTCTTTGCATATCCAAACTTTCTAGGAATGGAAAATTTTGGAAGGCCTTGGGGTATATCTCCAACCTACAAAGGAAAAGAGGAACATGATATTCCCAAGTTAAACTCATAATTAAGACAATTACAACTAACACAAGAACATAATTGACATCGTTCCCATTATTAGGAAAATGAACTATGATATGATTATCAATCCATAAAAGAGTAAAAAGCACCCAAAACAGATCATGAAATCTATTTGAATGTTAGATTAAATGCAAAAGAGGTGTCCCTGATAGTTCCAGAACAACAAAACAGTGAAAAATTACCAATTGTTAACAACGAAAATAGAGAAAGTGGTTACCGATGAGAAAAAAAACATTGGCGGGGGAAAGTTGTTGTGAAAGTGAATACTGGCTCCTAGTTGACATGTAATTGTATTTTTAGCCCCTAAATGGCCTAATGACTAATTTGTCCTTCTTTCCCCTAAAGGGAACTTCTGTCCTCAAGTTAGGCCTCACTTAACCTTCTCTCTTCCTCCTCTCTCGAAGTATCTCTCCCCTTCCCTTTCCTCCTAATCAAGCCATTGATCAATATGTTAATTCTCCTTTCTCCTCCTCTCCTTTCTTGCTGCTGTATTTTTAACTTGGTACCAGGGCAAGGTTACTTCGAGAGGTTTCTTTTCAAACCCTAAAGCATTGATTTGCCCACTCGAAAATCTCCAAAAGCCAAATGGTAAGAAACCCTAGAACTAGAAAATGTATGGAATAAAAAAACTCTATTTTTTGCGGTTACCTCTTTGAATTTTTGTTGCAGGTTCAAAAACCCTAAATCTGGTTGGTGTGGTTTGATGGTGTTAAATTCAGTGTTGAACCCCTTAAATGGATCAAACCCTTGCCTGTGAATTGTGAAACTCAATTTTCTTTGAGCTCTTGTATGGATGATCTCAGGTCCCTATTTGAGGTTTTCTTGAGTAGTTGCCTGTGTTGATCAGCATGTTCCCTTGGTGGTTCTTATGTAGTATTTTGGTCAATATGTCCAATATGAGTGATTCTAGACACTCTTCCACTGCCCCTAGTATTTTAGGTTTAACCTCCCATATTGAGTATTCATGGACATAACCTGGATTGAAATTACTACTGTCAAACTCGATGGGAAGAATTATTTATAGCGGTCGCAATCTACAAAAAATTTCATTGGTGGAAGAGGCAAAGTTGGGGTATATCAATGGTAAGATTACTGACACCGAAGAAACAGATCCTTCAAATGAGGAGTGGAAACTAAAAATCCAACCATAAATTATTAATATTACACTCCATGCAACCATCAATTAGCAGGCGTTTTTTGTTTCCTAAAACTGCGAGAGGGATTTGGGACTCTGTACACCCAAATCTCTATAAGCAAGAATGTGGCTCAAGTGTATTGAGGAAGGAAAGTTTCCATTCAATAGGGAAAGAGGTCGGAGTTGGACCACTATCAAACGTTTAAACCAAGCATGTAAGGCAGATGCATAGAAATACAAAGGGGTTGTACAACAAAATTGAATTTCTGAGTTCTTGGAGGGATTGAACCAAGAATTTGAATTAGTCCGAGTTCAAATACTCAATAGGGATACTCTTTCGTCGCTTAACCAAGTATATTTCTTTGTCCAAAGTGAGGAAAGTCAAAAACCTGTCAAGTAGCCTAGTCAAGTACTTGATTGATCTACCCTTGCTTCAACCTCATTACCTCCTAGAAACAACAGGGAGAGTGGGACTCAGAAATTTAGAGAAAGGAGGCAGAATGAAGGAGATAAAAGTAAGTTAAAGTATGACCATTATAGTAGAAATATTTATAGAAAGGAAACTTGCTGGGACCTGATTGGTCAGACAGCTAAATTCAACCGTCCAAGTCAGTTTAATGCTTACAAGGCTTCTTCCACTGGGAATTCAGCTGCTGCTAGTACAGAATATAATCCAATCTTCAGTATCTACTCTCAAAGAGAAGATACCAGTCTCCAAACAGGAGATTGGGAGTCTTCGTCCATTGTTCGTACAATTAAATGGCCCATCGACAACCTCTGCTTCATCTTTTACACACAATCCGGTACTCATACTTCTGCAAATCATGCCTCCCTTGCTCCATCTGGACAATCCTGGATTATTGATTCATGTGAATATGATCACAAGATCAGTATGTCTTCCTTGTTATCTTCATATTCTCTTTGTTTCGGAAGAGACAAAGTTAGGATTGTTGATGGTCTTCTTCCTCTATTGTTTGTAAAGGAACTGAAAATGTTTTTCCTTAAATGACATTGTCATATGTTATTCATGTTCCCAGCTTTGCTACAAACTTAATGTCTATTAGTAACATTACCAAGAGTCTAAATTGAAATGTAAAATTCTTTCCTTTTCATTGTATTTTTCAGGATGTGGATACAAGAGATGACTGGCCGTGTCATGAAGCTGGTGGTCTCTACATTCTAGACTCCGTAACAACTACTTCTCAAGCCCTACAGTCTAGTGCCAATGTTAATAAAGATCGGATTTCTCAATGGCATTTGCCACTTGGTCATTTGTCTTTCAGTACTTAAAATTTTTGTTTCCTAAATTGTTTATCACTACTGGTATGTCTGAGTTTCAATGTGAGATTTGTGAGTTGTCAAAACATTTTAGAAACTCTAATTTACAAAGTAATAACAAAAGAAAGGTTTCTCAGATATTAAAATATATTGAAGTTCCAAAGGTCTTTAAGGTCTCTCATAAGATGATTCTTGCTCAATTTGATACTAAGCATAAGGTACTTAATCTGACCATGGTCATGAGCTAAAGTCCTATTTGGATGAGCAAGAAATAACACATCAAAATTCATGTACTTCTACACCACAACAAAATAGTGTAACCAAAACAAAGAATAGACATCTTTTAGAAGTCCTGCTCTCTAGTCTCTCCTTGAGTATAAATGTACTGAAGAAATTCAGGTCCAAGATTGTGCTCACTGTATCTTATCTTATTAATTGGATGTCATCTAGTGTTTTAGACTACAAGTCCCCATCTAAACTTCTTTGTCCTATTTCCTAAAGTTTTTTGTTGTGTTTGTTTTGCTCATGTTCTAGGTCCGTACCACACAAGATTGGATCCAAAATATGCAAAATGTATCTCCTTGGTCATTCATTTTCTCAAAAGGGTTATAAATGTTATGATCCAATATTAGGGAAGAAATTTATCTTAATGGAAATAACCTTTCTTGAGTCTACTCCTTTCTTTCCCACCTCTCTTCGGGGGGAGTACAGTATGGAAGAGAGTCCTCTGGTCCATTTCCCATCCCTATTATTTCTGACTTTGGTACTCATAAGGACAATGAGGGGAATTCTTATGATGCTGAAAACGGAGAATTAAAGGTCTATACTCCACACAAAAGCAAGTGGACACCATCATAGCTGATAGACCACCACGCCAATTGTATACCTCCAATCCAGGTAATATTTCCAAACCCCAATGTGATGATTCAGATCTTCCCATTGTTCTATGCAAAGTTAGATCAAGTTGTACAACACACCCATAAGAAATTTTGTTACTTATGAATTCTTGTCTCCTTATAGTGCTTTCATGTCTTGTGTCTTTGCTCCTATCCCGTCCAGTGCAGAAGTTTTAGCACATCCCAAGTGGAAAGAGGCTATGTGCATGGAGATGAGGGCATTAATGAATGATGCTACTTAGGAGCTGGTACACCCTCCTAAAGAGCAGAAGCAGGTTGCTTGCAAATGGGTTTCAATGTGAATAGCAAGGTTGATAGTACAGTTGACATACACAAGCCATGATTAGTTATTAAGGGGTTCACTCAAACTTACGGAATAGACTATCAGGAGGCATTCACTCCCGTAGCCAAGATGAACTCAAACTTATGGAATAGACTATAATTTGATGGTGTTATAGAGTCTAGAGTACTCCTTTTACAAAACTTGCAGTTACTCAATCTTAAAAATTTTACAAACATTACTCTCACATAAAACTTCACACACTATTACAGCCACGATTCTTGATTTACAAAAATCAAATACTACTGAAAATGAAAGAAATACAACTTTATGGAGCCCCCAAGTCATAAAAATACAAATATTGTACTCATAGAAATAAACTACATCACTTAGCACCAACACTTGCATATGGACTGCACATACACTTTTCTCTTCCACATAAACCAACTCCAAATTTTACCTAATTAACTCTTGATGACATAAAACTCAAATAAACTCAAAGCTACAACAAGTGCAAAACAATGATGGTAATCCAATAGTCGAACCCTTTGTGCCTGGATCACTCAAGTGGACCTTTTAGGGACTTAATTTTGTCCCATAAATGAAGGCACGGATGACTCAAATCACAAGGGCTGATTTCACTTTTCAACTGTGAAGCTTATAGACACTTCAAATGCACTTGATTAACTTTAAAGTATGAGAGAGAGAGAGAGAGAGAGATGAACTTTTGAAGTTCAAAATAGTGAGCAAATGTCAGCTATAAACAACTTCAACTATACGAGTGTGTATTTGGCCATAGACTTAGGGAAACAAGAGTAGTTTCATGAGAAAAACCAAGGGCCAAAAAAATGGTACTCAAATATTCACCAAATGCTTGATGATATGCTCAAAAAAATTTCAGAGAAATCAGGTGATGAAAGACAAGAAGAAGATAGTGTCTACGTGCAAAGTATTGAATTATTATATGCACATATGATAATATACATGCATAGTTTTAGAAAGGGGCTTAGGATTTATGAACAATCAAGAATATAAGGATGACGAGGAATTTACAGCAAGAAGAAGATGTCTAAATTACTCTATAAATGAAAACAATGGAACTATGGAAGCTACCTCAAGCCTAGAAACCATGGGAGGAAGATTCAATGACTATAGAAATTACCTCAAGCCTAGACACCATGGGAGGAAAATTCAATGGCCATGGGGACTTTGCTCACCACAAGATGGAACAAGGAACAAGAGCACACTGTGGAACCTGGAGCTCTCTAATTCTCCCTCTAATCTCTCTCAAAAATATGCTCTCAAGTGTATAGAGAATGAGGCTTGGGGGGCTATTTGTAGACAAAATCAA